AGTGCTGTGCAGACGCTTTAGACACTTGCGTTAATTGGAACTGGTAATACATCTGATTGGTTCCCTGACAACATCCCAAACCTACTGCTGAGAAATTCGAAAAACAAAACTATCTTTACTGGCAAAAAAGAACAAGGAGTCCTGCAACAGATGGTGCTGTATGGCCCCCAGGAAACATCTTCAAGTCACACAAAAAGACAGAAGACAGTGAGACAGCATAAATCCACAGAAGAACTGTGGCAAGTTCTCAAAGATGCTTTGGGGGACCTACCAGCCGAGTACACTGAAGAAGTGTAACAAACATCTGTGCCAGTTTAAAGAACAAAGGTGATCACACTAAATATTGACTTGAACCCCCTGCCTTGTACAACACTTTGGATTATATGACATTTTTTTAAGCATCTCTAATTTATCTTTAATGCCTACAAATTTTGTGGCAATGTTCATTCCAGTAGCAGAGCAGTGCTGTCTTCCTGAAGTTGACTGCCTCAATTTAAAAACTGAGAAACAAGGTCCTTGAAAAGCCCAGCGGTGATGAAAGCTTCAGCGTGACAGGCATATTATCAGCTCTTCTACACGGCTCTGTGTGTGTGTGTGTGTGTGTGTGTGTGTGTGAGAGAGAGAGAGAGAGAGAGAGAGAGAGAGACTTTGATTGTCCAAAGGTGAATCAAATCCTACTTTTTCACACGTACAATAACTGTGGTGATATTTTGTGCTCTCATTTGATCTGTGTCTGCAGAGCAGGAGGGCTTCTGCAGGTGTGATTAAACATACGTCGCTGCTACAACTATTCATTTTAAAGTGGGACAGATCAGAAGGACCCATGAGAACTCAACATAACATTCACAGTAAGTGATTTCATTCTACAGGAAGTACAGACTGGAACAGAGTATGAGAATTACAACAGCGAAAACAGGAACAGTGCAGAAAAGAAACACCAATTATACAGGGAGGTAAATACAGAAACAAAAACAGACACTCGGGCTCTTAGGCCTGTAAAGACACTGAGTTCATTTCTACAGATGTTTGGTTCCACTCCATCTGCATATAAAACTCGCCGTTTTGGCACTTTTAAGACCATATGTGTCTGTAAACGTGGATAGAAATATATTCAGTCCATGTTTTGTGTAGGCAAGTGTGAATATGGTCTGTGTGTGTGTGTGTGTGCCAAGGTGTTTTTGTGTACATATGTGTGTAGGTATATATGCTCATGTGTGGGAAGGTGTATGTAGTGTGTGTTCTTACATTTTATGTCCATAAAGTGTTACTCTAAACTATTCAAACACGTACAGTATATTCATTGATTCTCTACATTAGCGTTTGTGTGTTTTGTGGAGTTGTGTGAGAGTGTGTGTTTGTCACAGTTGGCCACCGGTAAAAAAACTCTTCTGTTTTTGTTGCGTGTTGGTTTCGCGAGGCAACTCCCTCCGTCAGTCTCTCTTGTTCGGTTGACAGTGAGCCGAAAGGTCAGCGGATCGACCGTCAACCCACAAATAAATCAACAAACTGACGACTCAACTTCAACAGCAGACAGACATTTTTAAAATCACAGTCCTGCTTCCTCTGTGGAGCCAGTCAAATAGCCAAAGACAAAAGTCAATTCGGGGTTCTTCGGGGGTTTGGACTTGTTATCTAGCCTCTAGTTTGATATAGACAAGTCACAGAGCTTCTTTCTCAGTGTCAATAAGCAATAGAGTTTCACAGTGCTTAAAATTTAAAGTGTTGAAAGTAGTTAATTAGTCTGACACCTCTGGAAGGGGTGTGAAATGGTGTTTTTCAAATGGGGGTGGGGGGCAGAAGTGACTGTTATTTGGCAGAGATCAGAAATGATAGTTAATGTAAGTATGACCATCCAGGGTAGAAAACTAGCCTGGCATCACCAGACAAACTCGGGAATGTCAAATAGTCTGAAACTTCTTGGTTCACTTTTGATTTCCAGCAGGAGCAGGATAAAATGTTTCTGGATGCAATCAGATAGACTGGAAACCACAGTGAATTCCTCATTAGCTCTCAGGTAACTGCTAGCTTGGCTGATAACCTAGTGAAACCAATGGTGAACTGCACCAAACACTTTAATTGAAAGTCTGTGCTTCTTGAAAGTTGGAGTTTCTCCAAGTCTAAGAAAATTGCTTTCAGAAACTTCTTATCTTAATCGTATGCGAATCTTAAGCTTCCGCAACAGATCACTTGATTTACCAGATTGTGGTTCGTTCACTTCAGCTTCTAAATAGTCTGTGGTGAGACTGGAGGACCTTTGGCTCTGCCTGTCAATTAGTATTCATCACTATCCATGAAAACTCAAACTCCAAGTACAACAGCTCTGTCTGTACTTGGTTTAACCCAAATGTAACACGTAGTGTGGATAAAATGAGAATAGCACTGACCTGCTGATAACTGCTTTTCCATTATTACAGGTCCTTAGATCAGTATGTTGAAAACTGTGTTTATCAGAAAGCATCTGAAGTAAAATAAACAAATACAGAAATTAAAGCATAGCTGAAAAAAATATCTCCAAGAGCAGTAGGGAGGGAGGGAGAGCTCAGAATGAACAGTAAATTAAACCTGGCCCGGGAAAGCAAGACTGTCCCATCGTGTCACGCTTTAACACAAAAAATGCACGTCTTCAAATTGCACCAAACTGTGGCTTCTGAAATGTAATCTGATCTAAAAATGTATCATATTTTACATGTTTACAACATAAATTGATTACTTTGTTTAGCAGAATGCAGATAAATGTGCCAAGATAGGTTTAGAGATTAAATTGTAAGGACGTTACACTTCCTGTAGCAGACTCCCATTTCCTACAGTGATATTAAACTCGAGGAGAACGGGCAAAAAGTTATATTTGCAGCATAGGCTTCTGTGGTCCATTACCTTGTTAATGGTAAAGGAAAAATAGGCAAAAAGGGATAGAGGGAGGAATTCAGGGAGGAGTTTACTTCAGCCAGATGCTATCTGTATAGTGTTATAATGTTTACAGCATTAATACAAAGCCAGTGTTTCCACTGCAGACTTGATCCTATGGAGTCATAAGTTTAATTAAAAAGGAGCAAAGAGACCTTGCTACCATTCCCTGGGAACCATTGCAACCCATTGGTTTCTGTGCCTGAGGTTCACATTTAGAACAACTACAACTCCAAAGGGAGGAAATGAGCAGGGTTGTTCTGTGATTTTCCATGACTATTGATTTGTGTTTTTCAATAAGCCTGAACTTTAAGAAACTTACGAAACTGAAATGAGAAGCCAAACTTGTGTAGCAATGACTCCCCGAGGCAGCCAGTGATATTGTCTAGAAACCACCGTGAATTTGTTTGAGGCATATAGAAACTATCCTTCTAGTTTATAAGTTATTAAAAAGCTTTTAGACCAGAGCCATTCCTCCCAAAGTACCAGGACTAGAATCGTGATGTTAATGCCAGTTTTGTGGCACTAAAAAAAAGAAGCCTAGTGAATTATTTTTTTTCAGCGCATAGACAATGCCTGATTACCAGTTTAATTGTACTCTTGAATTCCTCTCCTCTGGGTAAATGTAGTTGACTTGTGAGACTGCTACAAGCTGTGCTTTCTCAATTGTTCCCTGTTACCTTTGACTTCTGAAGGCCTACGATTTCATACATGACCATGGTTAATTACACAGACTGGAAAGAAGATGCACTCTATCAAATCCCAGGTTATAGAATCTGTACATTTGTCAGTATCAACCAGTGGAAGTAAAGAGGAGCAAAGCTTGGTCACCATGTATGAACTCCTCTCCGGGGCAGAGGAAAAAGTCTGCTTGGAGAAAAGCTTGGTTAAAGAGTAATTTTATAGATTTAAATAAACACTGGACTGGTGGACAAAAGTGAGTGATGGTCTTGGTAATGGTGTGACGTATGGCAAATTGGAAACTATGAATTATTCCATGAATAACTGAGCTAATGTTATTCCTTACATCTAAAGAAATGCCTTCGGGGTACGTGAGGGTAACCTCAGCTCGATTCCCCTTCTTCTTCCAAGTGAAGCCATTATTTTTTTAAGAAGCTTCTACCCCTGCATAGCCTGTGGTACTAATTTAAAACTAATTGATTGGTGATTCCTTTTGTACGTTACAAATAGGGGAGCTGCCAGTAAAACTTGAACAAAGGGCAAAAATAGAACAGTAGGCACTTTATAAAAAAATGGACACGGTCCAACTGAGGGCCCAAGGGAATTCACACTGTGGATTTTTTATGCGCTACCACTCGCCCAAATTAGGTTCTATTGATCTAATGATAAAGTAATGACATTCTGCTGACATCCCATTGCAAACACCAGTGGGTCTATTGCACTGACTGCCACAGATGACATAGAAATGCCAGTTATTGCTCAAAATAATAGAATATCAAAAGCAAAAACATTCTCTGACTTGTATTTGTTTTGGTTTTTTTGGTCCAGGTTTTTGAGAGATTGTGCCATCATACTGCTGCAGTGGAAGTGAAGGTGATTTTCATTCAGACAAATTAAATATATTACAATCAGACATTTCTTTTAGTGACAAAGGGTGGCAAATCATAACATATTTGGATGGGACAATTTATGCAGAACAAAGTGCAGTGTTAAAAAAACATCTAATAAAATGACATGTCCCGACTGCTTTTAAACATGATCATTTCTATTTCTCACAGCAGATTTGGGTCATTTGCGCTGACCTTTGCGACTCTGCCTATTCTTTAGACGTACATTTTATAGGTCAAAGAGTAAATAAATGCCCCATCAAACTCACACTTTCAATGGTGGCTTGATTCAAGGCCTATCAAAACAATAACATCAGAGTAAATCCTGTGGAAAATCAAATAAGAATGCATTACTTGCATGCCTTGCAAACAGGCCAATCCAGACCAATCATACTCAAAGCAGAAAGAACATAGCCCAAAAGGTTATAGCCTAATTTCACCTCCACCTGCACAAGTGAAGGTGAATGACTTTTTGTTTTTCAGGCCAGTGTCTGACTATCATTCCTGCCTGCAAAAAATGGAGGGAATGCAAAATGATGAGACATTATATAAATAAAAAATGGATAGACAGACAGCGAAACAAGGCTATCTGTTATTAATTTCAGTCAAGCTCTGAATCCTGGAGAGTTAATAATATCAGCAGAGCCTTCTGACCTCAGATGATGGTACAACATCAGCCTTCACAAATTAGTCATTAATTTATCCCATTAAGTTGGACAGAGTTGGCAGAAAAACAGAGGGAAATGAGTTATATTTGCATTTTGAGAATTTAGAGCTTCTAATAGAAATTTGGGCAGGAAATTAAAATGCTGTTTCAAAGTACAGTTTCAAAGTAATATTTTGAAAGCTTTGGTAGGGGTAAAATTACCTAAGAACTACTCACTTGTTTTTTTTTTTCACATTTATAGGACTGAGATAAGTATTTGTTTCTTTGTGTTTCATCAGAATGCTCAGTGTAAGGGAAACAAGCTTTTGCATCATTAAGGTCTCTTGTTTAGTCCACAACAGTCCCAAGCCTTGCTCCTCTAATCCATTTTCATTGTAATAACCATAGTTTTAAACCCTAATCCTAAATAAACCAAGGCTGCAACTTTCCTTTGTTTTCTTTATACTTTGCTGACCACAATGGAAAAGATTATAATGGAAACCTGTAAAGTCATACCTCCCAAGGGCACTTTGGTCCAGGTCTAGTGAGCTACCAGCTTCCACCCAGAGCACAAGGTGGTCATATATAGTGTAGCGTCAGAGTGCATCCCTGGGGTCTTCACCCTGCGTATTATTCATTTCATCTTAATGTGTAGTAGTGAAAGCATTTCACTTTTTTGATTTTAGGGTTCTGTGCATCCTTGCATTCAGTTGATTCAAAGGCAACTGACAATACACTGAAGTCTGTCTGCATAACGGGGAAATTGTTAAAAATGAGATGCTGCTACAGTAAACCCTTACTTATTCTTAGTCTGCCTCTATTCCTAAACATGATTACCATTTTCTTTCATATAGGAGCTAATGCCTGTCCTGTAAACCTGCATAACTCAACCTAAAGTAATTTCTGCAAGACTTGGACTATTGAAATGTAAATTTTTCATCTCATAACTTCCCTTATGAAAAGAAATATGCTACAACTGTAAATAAGAAATGGGCTATGGGACAAAAATGCCTGTGGGTCTTCATGCTATCTCAACAGACAATACACAGTTATGTACCCACTCACATTCACTCATAACTTCCTGACTTTGTTGTTATCCATATATTAGCTGTACAGGCTTTGCTACCTTGGATGAGCCTGAGAATAATAAACGACTCACCGACAACCAGAACTTTACTCTTTCACACACAAGTAATCACTCAAGCATGCAGAAACTGTACGTGCATGTCCGTACACTACTGAACATCTGTTTGTAGGTGCTTCAAATCAATGAGTGTGCGCAACACAAAGCGTTCCTGAAGTATTCTCACACTGGCTAATCGCCAGAAAGAACAATTAACCTGATAAGTATCATTTAATGTCCTCCCTAAAGAGGGAGATTCAGGCTTTTCTAAAACAAAACACACCTAATTCTTCACCCTGCTTCCTCATTACCATCCTAAATGATGCTTCTATAGGACAGCAGGTACTGCCGTGCCATGGAATGATTGTTTTGTGAATAACGGCTTGATGGGATTAGAGAAAAAACGGATGGCGCTTAAGTCATGGTGGGTGCTGTTTCTGGGGAGATAGCTGAGCTCCAGTTTGCCAGCAGTGAGGTAGAAGACGTTTGCTTGTCATCACCTCGCCTTTGATCATTAGTGATTAGTCAACAGGTCTGTGAAGCCTGAAAGGACCAAAGTGCCCAGGGTGAGGCAGGATTCTCGTTAAAAACCATTCGTGTTGAGGTGAGGACAGAGGAGAACCTTGGAAATAGCCTCTGAAAATGTCAATGAATTTTCACAAAATCAATTTTTAAAAATCACCAGGTGAATACCTCTTTAATTCTTGAACAGGCGCCTGAATGACCTGTGTCGCTAGACACCTCTGAGGAAACATTATCTGTCTTGCTACATTAATATGTTCCTCTTCAGTAGTCTGCTGTTGGCATTCATTCCACAATCTCCCTTAGGACATAAACTTTGCTCCTCAGCTCACAGCTTCTGCTGGGCGGAAACACCTTTCCAGTAGTCCAAAATATCATGAAGGTCCTCGTCCTTGGCAAACTGCACCTTCTTGCGCAGAGCATGCCCTGCTGCTATATAGGATGCTTCCTCTCTAGGACTTTTCTTGTAAGGTCGGAATCGCTCCCAGATTCGCAGTGTGCTCTCAGATGAGTACTCTGGACTGGAAGAGTAGCCAGAGTTGTAGTTGTGGTGACGAGAAGGTGAGAGCTGGGAGTAGGTGGATGTGGCATCCCTCTTGGTGCGCCCAAGTGGCTTGAGAAACGAAGCCTTTTGGGATGGTGAAGGCGATTCGTTGCCACCCTCATAGTAGAGTGCAGGAAAGGAGTGGCGGTGCTCAGAGCTATGATAGTCTGGCTGAACTTCCAAGTGCTGCTGTTGCTGCTGTCCAGAGCTTACAGCGCCACCTCCATTCCCACTATTACATCCCATTCCTCCCCCATTTAAGCTCAGGCCTCCGCCATTAATATTTCCCATTCCATTTCCGTTACAGCCTCCTATTCCACCACCTCCTCCACTTCCTCCCGCTCCAACACAACCCACGGGGCTACCCTTTTCTCCTGGGTACTTGGGAGGATCACTGCGCTTCTCAGGGATGTCCACACTATACACTCTTGTGTTCTTGGCAGAGCTTGCAGAAGGGGGACCACAGCGGTTCTTAACCACAGCAGTGTCTGCGCTCAGTTGCCTCTGAAGGGGCCGCACTGCATTGGCTGGGGGTGGATCACGGTAAGGAGGGGAGAGAAATCCACCCCCGCTGATACCAGGCCGCTCAGATAAGGGCATGACCAGGGGCACTGGGGCCATTGAAGGCGGGTGAGGCTGTTGATGGAGCTGTGGATGAGGCTGAGAATGGGGCTGAGAATGGGACTGAGGATGTGGCTGAGGATGTGGTTGAGGAATTGGCTGAGGATGAGGTTGTGGATGAGGTTGAAGGTGAGGCTTAGGGTGCACCTTTGGAGAGGAAGCCATGATCTGATCTCCAGGATGACCTGGAGAGAGGGGGAGAAGGTTGCGCGGGAGCGATGCTATGCAAGGAGGCTGGGAGGACACAGAACTGGTATTGTCAGCTGTGGTCACAGCATTAGCTGAGGCATCCAGCTTCAGGGCATCAATGCAGTTGTTGATGATCTGGTTCACCTTATCAACCTCCTTGGCAATGGTGGAGATCTCTGATGCTGAGCCACGACCGTCATCATCTGAATCCTCCCCAGCCTCCGTCCCATTCTCAGCCCCACCTCGCATATCCACAACTACTTCCCCTCCTGGCCCTGCTCCTCCAGCTGCCATCACTGCCTCCCTGCCTTCCCCTGTCATTCCCGTTGTCCTTATATCCATGTAGTTACCCTTGCCACCCATAGCCTCAGAGAAGGCAGTGGCCATTTTTTCCACCTGTGGCAAGGTGGAGAGGCGGGAAGAACTGGTATTGGCTGAACCGTGAAGCATGCCTGTGCTAGAGGTGGCAGATTGGGGCAGCTTGGCTCCTGCACCGCCTGAATGGTGATGCTGGTGGTGAGCCTGCTCCTGAAGACGCTGCATGGCATTTGGGTCATTGACTACAGCTGCAGCTGCTTCTGGGCCATACCTAAAAAAAAGGGTCAGATTTACTTTTAAACAAACAATACTCTGTTTTCATAGTGCGTACCTTTTCTAAAAACTGGTTTCCCTTCAGTGATGGCCTAAGATGACAAAATCCTTGCTTTTTTAATTAAAGCTTAAAGAATTATAAAAATGACCTAAAGACTCAATAAAGAGTATGACTGATTTTTTTAAGCCATTGCTTGCAGTTAGAATAAATGAGCTCTTTCATAAATTCAAAAAGAAATGCACTGCAGCAAAACAACTAATGAAGAGATAATGAAATAATAAATTGTTCCAAAGAAGTCAATTACACCCACAGGACATAGTCATGTCAGTTTGTGGCTACAACATCCAAAGATGCATGACAGAAGATTCTATTGTGATCCCCAAAACTTTGATTAACAAACATGCACTGTCTCATACCTCATTTCCAAAATTGTTTTCTTCACACTAATTGCTTTTTCCTTCTCTTCCTGGATGCGTCGGCGCCTCAGACAGTAATAGACAAATCCAAGAACAATGACCATGCCAAACAGACATCCCAGGATGGTCATGATGTAGTGGGTTGTTGTGGAAGGATTCGTTTGGTGGTCCAGTGGCCCAGTAGCTCGTGTGGTAAAAGACATGCAGGTGTGGTTGTACTTTTGAGACTTCCTTACAGAAGCCACACAACAGGTGTAATTGGTCTGTGGTTTCAGCCCCTTCAAAGTTATCGTAGCTTTGCTTGACTTGAGGGATATGTCCTCTTCAAGAGAAGTGTTGTTATACCGGGAGAGAACATACATCTTACTGTAGGGATGTGGGATCTTGACTATTAGTGAAGCTGTGTACGGAGTGACTGTTTGAAGCTTCATAGAAATTTGAGGGTTATAGATAGGGTCAGCAGTGGATGAGGTGGTTGGCTGATGGTACACACCTTGGTCTTGGTCCAAACCCATCCCTGAGCCATCTTGATCTGGCATCTGAGAGGTCATCCCTGGAATTATCACACCATCACGACACATTGATAATAGTATGTTCCGAGCATTTCTTCCATTTCCATACCCGGGGCTCAAGAGTGGATAACCAGTCATTTCTGGAGGTGTTTCACACTGGAGACGGTCATAGGTGCGGGTGACATTGTTAAACTCATCCAGCCAAGTGAGAAAACTGTAAAGATCGCAGCCACAGTGGAACGGGTTTCCACCTAGTTCACATACTGTCAGTCTGCTGAGAACCGTTAAAGTAGATGGGTCAAGACGGGCCAACTTGTTGGAAGATAAGTCTAGGCTGTTGAGGTTGGGACACTCCCAGAAGGCATTGGTGGCAATGACCTCAATGAGGTTGTGTTGCAAGAAGAGGCACTGCATTCGACCCAGACCTCTCAACATGCCCTCAGTCAGGTTGGTGAGTTTGTTGTAGCCCAGCTGAAGAACCTGGGGCAAGGAGACAATCGGCTGTTAAAATATATGTTAAGTTGTTCACCACATTTTCATTAATTGGTTGTTGCTTTTCTGTAGAGGATGTCAGAACACAGTTTAAGCTGAAACAATTTGGGAACATTTTGCTGCATTATCTAACCAAGTGTTAAGACATGAGTGATTCAACCGGACAAACATCTGAAATGATATACACAAGAAATTCACACATTCATTTGCTGTTAACACTTACATTTAGCATGGTCTAAATGGGATTCATATTTAACCTCCTAAGACCCAAACTCTTCCATGGCATTTTTCAATTTCTCTTTGATATTTGGGGGTATTGGGACCTGATGAATGTTTTTTACCTAATTTTTGTTTTTAAGAAAAATGAGAGCCACATATGAGGATATTCATTCAAAATTTCGATAGAGCAGTTGCAGTATAATGTTCTTGTAAGTGGATATCAGGCCCTTGTAGAGCAAAATTTAAATAACCCAAAATGTGATGTCCACATATGTGGACGCCAGGTCCTAGGAGGTTAAAGACTTTACTCATTTTTCATCCACTTTTGCAGGAATATTAGAGAACTTTCTGAAAGTCTTAAGAAACGTCTATTATTTCCTTATGTACAGGTGAAGAAATAAAGTTTAAAAAAAGAGAGAAAAAGGTAAAAGCAGTTTCACTTTTGGCTTCAGACCTGTAGGTTGGCCTGTCCAGCAAAGGCGCCATCTTCAATGTAGCTGATTTCATTCTTGGTTAGATTGAGGTCAGTAAGGTTTGTAAAGCGGTACATGGAGGTAAAGAGCACGGCCTTAAGTTTATTCTCATTCAGCCTCAGGTCATGCACCTAAGAGAGACAAGACAACAGTTCACTTTACTTTTTCTGTTATAAGGGGAAGACCTAAAAAGACAGAAGCATATTGGAACCCACGTTTTTGCTTAATGAGAAATTTCCCCAGTTAGACGTCTCATTCCCCAGTAATCACAGCGCACTTGTAAGCTCTTGTACACTGCTTCTGAAACATCTAGATTATGTAGGTGTTTATGCTATCTCAGTTAGGTAAAACATATTCATATTACGTTGTCTCGTTTTAATCACTTACACTGGCAATTGTGCAGTGTTACGCCAACTAAAATATATGTTGCTTTCATTATAAGATGTCAGCGACATCATACATTAGAGTACATTACAGTACCAACTATAGTTAGGGAACAGACATAAAACAGCCTTCACATTCACATAGTTTACAATGACCATTACACTGAGTGTAAGAACATTAGAATCACTGATTTCTAGTCAACATCATCATGAGGCACAGGTTCAGCAGAGGTTGCTATAGTGATAGAGCACAACTGGCCTGCAGATAGTCATACTGACCGTGCTGTTGATGTGCTGGGGGATGGTCTCATATGGAGGCTGGTTCTGACTGCAGATAGCAAGCCAAACGTAACCTTTTTCCCCCTCTATCAGCCAGCAATCCCCTTTCACTGTGCCAGACAGGTGGAGGAGCAACAGTGCAGGGAGCAGGAGCGAGAGACACAGGGTTGGAGAGGGAGGGGACAGTCTGCTGGCCATGGTTTGGATGTCTGAGTGCCACCTCAGTAGAAGGGTGGGGGGGTCGGGGAAAGGATAGAGCAGCAGTTCAAGTTCAACGCTGGAACCGATGCAAATCGGGAGGCAAGTTTAAATAGACAGAGCAGTTAATGTAAAGGCTTCCTTCTCAACAATTAGAGCTGAGGTTGCAGCATGGCAGCAAGTCCTGTCCCCATTTTAGGTGTTCCATGTCAAAGGGTTTTGGAGACTGTCAACCCAGCAGCTACTCATGGCCCCGTAAAACCGTATGACTCGATAGCACCAACGAGGACGTGCTCGATCTCAGACGAAAGGTAGAATCCCTGTACAACATAGACAGGAAGAGACAAGAAGGGAGAGGGAAAATTAACAGCGTTTATGACAGAATGATTAAGAGTAGCCAGAAAATTCTAATGCAGTTCATATATCCCCAGATGGTTTGGAATTAACTGAGTGCAGGTCTTATTAAAGCGTAGGAATACATTTTTTTTTTAAGTATGACTCTAATACCCATGTTACCCAATCTTTTCAAGGTAATGCACCACAGTAATAAATCCATTAACTGCCATGATTACTCCATTAAGTCTTAATAAAGCCCAGAGAAATATAGTATTACTTTTCAAATGAAACCAGACTTTTTACGCTCTGTAATTACTCATAATCACGAACAGCGCTACAGTACAAGAAGCTGCAAGTTCTTCCATTTAGACATCATGATGGACTAATAAAAATGTAAATCACCAATAATATAAAAGCGACGCCGGTTGTCTAATGTGTTTTTGTCATTGTTTACAAGGCTCACCAGCTCGCAGCTGCAGTTCTATTACTTTAACTCTAAGGTATATGATGAAACAATAACAATTTAATAGCTGAGGCTTTACAGGGGTAAAAACAGAAAGATGGGCTAAGTGGAAAACAGAGAAGGGATGATGTAATTTGCATGTTTTAACAGGATGCTAGCTGACATTTAGCCAGTTACCTTTCTCTGGGGATTAACCATGGTTTAGGCTCTAATCCAGCGTAAAATATTATGTATCTCATCAAAACAGCAGCAGCTCTTTTAATTATTTTTCAAAGTTTTGATTTCCTCCCAGGGGAAAGTTATCTAGCCAAAACATGAATGACAGCTAATTGATAGTGACAACAACTGTGAAATAGACTTGCTCAATTCCAAATACACTTCCCTTTGTCCTTTTTTAAAAAACTTATATTTATTTATGTTTTTAGGTTGTCTCAAGTAGATGAAGGGAATCTGATGTGTCTCAAGGAAGTGAAGCACTGACACGGTGTAAACCAGGAGAAACAGAAGAGAGATTTGGGTGCTTCTGTTCAAGTGACCCGTTTGTGATAATCTGTTCTTCCCTCCTTTTCTTTCTCATCATCTGTCTCTTTGCACATCTTAGTTAGCCTCACAGGGAAAAGGCTTCCCTTCACATTATTCTGTGAAATTGATATTGGCATTTCAATTCCTCCACCAGAGGCCTTTAACCTGCGTTTGACCCAGACTTGCTGTCATCCTCATGAGTGCATGAAACACACAAAAGGAAACAAAAAAAAAAAGAAATGTACAACTTAACCGCTGCGAAACAACAGCTAGTTATCCCCATCAACAGTGTAATTATGAAAGTCATTCATTAATCATCTGTTATGGATTGGACTTTGAAGTGATTGTACTTGTGTGTATGCGAGCCTTACTTCATTGCATTTCTTGATGAAAAGATGCAGCTAAAGTGAATCATTCATCAAACAACGATTTGGACATTGATCATCATGCCATGCTGACACTGACACAGATTCTCATCCTTCTTCTTTCATCCCGTTCCTGAACTGCTTCCCTCTTCGCTCTTTGAAAACATCTCCAAGGCTGGTAATACGATGTAGTGACACAATTCTGATCTTATTTTTCCTCTTAGGTTTTAATGGAATGGACCGACAAAGCCTCTGGCTCAATTCTGCAGTTTAAGAAGATTTCAGAAGCTAGAAAAATAATTTTGAATAATTAAAAAAAACCTGAGTGTGTCATGCTTGTGATTACCGTAAGGCTGTTTTTCCCCCGTTGGGAACTCATATTCACATCATATCTGATACAACATGACTGGTAGCCTGACGTGATATTTACTGTGCTGAAAAACATGAAAGTCTAGTCAGTCAGGACCCACTTGAAAGCTAGTTGTTTACTGCAGAGCCCCGTAACAACAACTTCCACAGTATTTTTAATTTATAATGCTGTAATGATCATGACCACACTAGTCCATTCTGTCTTATCGTCCGGTTTAGTCTCGTGTCTCTCCCTCCATCTCTGCATATAACGCAAATTTGCTGTTATCTGACTTCCTGTATCTTTTCTGCCCAGCTTTTTCTCCTGTCTGCTTTGTTTTTAAGCCTGCTTATCTCTGCTGCCTTTCAGCTAGAGATACAAATGAATATACTTCATCACCAAAACATAACCTGACACCTTTTGTGCGCCATCGCCTCCCCTCCTCACTGCTTGCATGATATTCATGCCATCAGTTTTATTTTAACAAGAAAACAAAGGGAGCGACAGCCTTGTTTCCCACCTTCTTTTCTTCTTCAAACACGGCTCTCATTGTTTTTAATTACTGTCCATGAGAGCTGAGCTTTAATTAGAGTTTTGTATCTGACAAACAGAATTAATGATGTCAGGTCACCATGAAAATGGAAATCACATAAAGTAAGACCACGTTTTTCAGTGGTAGAAGCTGTGCTGTCTGACGTTTCTGACTCTGTGAATATGAACACCCTGTAACAAAGGCTAGAACTAGGCAGACTCCAAGAGCTAACCAGCTGTTTAAAATTAATGTCACTTGTATATTTATTTGTTAATTTTTTGAGTAACTTGCTACTACATTCTACATTCTAGCTTGTCTTAGCTTTAGCTGCTCTAAGATCAGAAAAAACTTGTGTGTTATTATACATATACGAATATCACACACACACACACACACATACATATATATATATATATATATATATATATATATATATACATAGCCAGCTGGTCGAGTAGTCAAGTCTTCCCAGCCAGGTACTAAGGATGGGAAACACCATAGAGGCAGAGCAGAGAATTAGGCCTATTGACACCATCTGTGAATCCTAACCTGTTTTACATTCAAAAGCTGCAGCTGTGTTCCTCACTTCTTTCTCATCTTTCCTTTCAACATTCTTGAAGCCGCTGCACTGTTATTCATGTTCATCCCCTTTCATGTCTACTTCGTTTTTCTGAACTTCATTTTATTTCAAAATTGGTTTTCTTCTGTTGCTTTCTAGCTTTTCCTTTGTTCTAATAGCTTTCTCATTTCCTGCAGCATGGTCATGTTCAAAAGTAATTGGACAATTGACTGATAGAAAGTTGCGTGGCCAGATGAGTCCTGTTGCTTCATTATTTCATGACAAATTAAGCAGATAAAAGACCTGAAGTTGATTTCAAGAGTTCAAATTGCATCAGTAAATTCTCCAATTACCTTTGAGCCCCTGAAAATGGGGAATTAAGTCTAAAAATGGCCGTAATTCCTAAACAATAAATGCAATTGTTGCAATCTAATTAAAACTAGAAGTCTGCTCTTTAAACACATATTGGTGGTGTACAGACGCAAAATTACCACAAACACGTTTACCATAGACACAGTCCCATAGGAAGAGTAGACCAGAGTGGAAGTTTTATCTGCTTAGTGCTTTCAGCCTCTTGCTATGCTCTGTTAAAGCTGGGAGGATTTTGCCAGTTTAAAAGTTATAAAAGCAGAGCTGCACAGGACATCAGTGATGATTTATGTCACTGATCAGTGTGATGTTAGCAACAACAATGCACAGGATTCAGCTTAAAATTCTTTGTCTTGTTTAAAAATGACTCCCCCTCTTCTTCACTCTGTTCCCTCATATTAAAAAAACATTTTTATAAAGGATCTTGACTTTCATTTTTTATTTTTTATGATTCTTGATCTAATTACGTGAGAAAATGCAATAATTCTTATTGCAGTTTTTTTGCAAAACCCCAGCTTAGTTCAATTTTCTTGCTTACTGAATCAAGAAGTCACTTAAATAGAACCTGTTTGACAAAGTGAAGTAGGTTAAAAGACCTGATAAAGCAACACATCATTACACAATCTAAAAAAACAGCTCAGAAATGGCTGATAGTTGCCAATTACTTTGTTTCTAAGACTCCGGGACTCCAGCGAACCAAAGTGAGAGCCATTATCCACTAAAGGGGAAAACTTGGAACAGAGATGAACCTTCTCAACAGTGACACTTGCAAACATGGTGGTGGTAGTGTGATGGCCTGCTGTAGCTTTGTTGCTTCAGGATCTGGATGACTTGCTGTAACTGATGGAACTATGAACTTTGCTCTCTACCAGAAAATCATAAAAGAGACTGTCCGGCCATCAGTTTATGCCCTGAAGCTCAAGCAGACTCAGGTCATGCAGCAGGACAGTAGTCTGAAACATAGCAACAAGTCCACATCTGAATGATTAAAAAAGACAAAAACAAAATTAAGATTTTAGAGTAGTCAAGGTCCAGATTTGAATCACGTAAAGATCCTTTGTCATGACCTTCAACAGGCTGTTCATGCTTGAAAACATTAAAACTGCTACACTGTATCTGAATTAAAACAACCGTCTAAACAATAATGGCCCAAAATTCCTTCACCTGTGAAAGAATCATTGCCAGTAATCGCAAATGCTAAGTTGCATTTAAAATGTAGTCCCAGTGAATTCATTTTTAAAGTCACTGAACAGAGTATTAGACATCAGCAATTTCCTGTCCAGCTAATTGGCATATCCACTCAAAATGTGTCAGATTTACACAAGCTCTACTCAGTGACTCCCTGGATTTCATAGAACAACTTTGATCCATCACCAAACACCAGCAACGAATGTTTCGTTTCGGGTGATTTTATCTTTGCGCTCAGATGGCAGGAGGTCTGAGCTCTTTAGACCATCAGTGCCAGGCTGCAGTTTCTAAAGCTGACTTCACTCTTAATCTGACATATGGATGTTGTTTAGTTGTTGATTAGCATGGCCCTAGTGACAGTCCGTTCCAGACTGATGTACGATGAAACTCAGCCACGCTTAATGGTGCTCTCATTAACTTAACCCATGAGCATGCCTGAGGCTATTCACCTCAATAAGTTGAGTGATTGCAGGAGTGAGAGAGCTCTCTGCAGGATGAGCCTACATCATTCTAATTTTACAGTGTGTGTGTTGTTTTACCTGTGCCTTTGTGAGGACATAATGAGCTTAAGAACTTAAAGCTGAGGATACACTTTGGAGGGCATACTGTGTCTTAGCCAGTCCTAATTGATTTCATT